TGCATTATCAATTCCTTATTATATTCTCAGATATTTCATCCAATTGCGTTTCGACTCAATTCTCGAAAATTTCAACTGAAGAGAATGTTTTCTCCTCAAGATATCAAAGTCCCAAAATCACTCATATGTACCGAAAGATGCTAGACTTTTTGTTTTTTCGCATTTTAGTACCTTGAAAAGAAAACATCATTTTGAGCTCAAATTTTCAAAACATTTTGCACACAGCTAGATCTGTCTGTAGGTAAAATGTCATACCACATAAAATCCTTCGATTTGTTGGTAAATACCATGTCATAAAGTAAAGCTTTTAGGAAAATGTCTATAATTCGGGATAGAAAATCTGAGAGCCGTTACCTTTTTGGAGTTTTTCATACCTCATCCAGATCTAATTATGGCCAAAAGATGGATTCTAACGTCCGTGGATACCTCGGGAGGGTATAGAGTGACGACGTGGGTGTGAGTATGAATGAAAACGAGACATATACACCCACACTGGCATTCTCACCTATAGCCACTCACACCTACCCATACTTCTGTAGACTGTATTAGCAAATGCGATAATTTAGAAGAATCTTCTCTATTCTCACTGATTACATTATTCCGAACTTCGAAAGATCCTATACAGTGTGATCAGCAGATAGCTTCCAAACGACTGTATATGGCATCTAGTTGCACAAATAAAAATCGTCATTAATAACTAAGTGTCAAAGAATCGTAATCAAAGTCTTTTTTCTAATTGAAGAAGTACTTCAACGACAACAACTACATACGTGTTCCACATGTTGCACCAGTCCATCCATTTGCACAGGTACATGTATTTGGAGCAGTACAATTGCCACCATTTTGGCATGGACTTGAGCATACAGCTGAAAAAAAGACAGTTCAATAATAAGTTTGCATCCTAGTCACAAGGTGTCATAAGCCCTTAACGGATTTATTCTTATGCTATAACCTCTTTTAGGATATATGAACTCAAGGGTATCTAAACATTAATAGAGGTTATGATTGTTGCATAAGGGCTTATTATCTTTCAGGTTACGGACATAAATCTTTTATTCTACGGTCAAGGGTAGAATATCCTACGGTTTCATATGAAGGTTTTATTATTTTACATATAAGAGTAGACTATCCTGCTATGGGAAAATATGCTGTGAGTGTGTCTCGTATTCACCTTTTACATACACACATTCACACGCACCCTAATTGATCGTTATCTCAGCTAACCTTTTTATTTCATAATCAGAAGACGTGTTATATCTTTTTAGTTGTCATCTATCGCCATAAGAAAAATCACACTAATCTGATCTTTTCATTCGACATAATGTAAGAAGTCGGTTTTTCTTTGCACTTAAGTTTAAGAGAGGATGTTCGCTTCTATCTTTCATTAAACCAAACAGTACTTGTTTTTATAATAAGGACTTTTGAACAATCACTGTACTTTTTTCTTCATCTTTAGAGAAAAACTGTTTGTCTTTTTCGTATATCTCGCTGCTCGAATAGAAACAATTCTTTTTTCGGTTTAATCGGGATGTGGAGAAGAATTCTCGCAAGGGTGTGAGCCTGCGTGAGGGTGCATGAGTATGGGTATAGATGTGGCTGGGTGTGAGGGTGTGGGTATAGGTGTGGATGGGTGTGAGTATAGATATAAGAAGAGTATAATGTTCACACCAACACCCAGACCTAGACTCACACCACATCCCCAAGATATTGAATCCGTTCACGATCTCACAATAGAAATTCTTTTTTCCTTATCATATTTCGCTATAGTGTTTTTATCAATGAAGGACAAAGCTCTCTCAGTTGTATATTTGAACTTTGCTTTTAATATATATAGTATGGATATTTCTGCCATTTTCGACATGCTAATAATTTACTATATGAGCACAAGAAAATTATTCTACAAGCTATTTCTACTCAATTCTGATTGATTTCAAATATAAACCATCACAAAATCTTAAGAAACATCCCAAGTGGTGTATGCACCACGCCTGCCACCAAACGGTTAATCTCTATATTTTACCAGCAACATTCATCAGATATTCTTTTGAACCATACAGCCTTGTAGAAAATTAAGTTGTGTACAAAATGATATGCTTGATTACATGATTGCTATTCTTTTTGAAGTAGTTAAGATGCTATATTTGCAGCTGCATTCTTTGCTGCAAGAAGAAAAAGCAATTTCTTTTCGTTCTATCACAGCCTATATATGATATATATAAGCATTCAAAATGTTTTTTCTTCCTGCAACAATGAATGCACTTGAGAATGTAGGTTTTTAACTATTTTAAAGAGAAGAGCAATCGTGTAACCTAGTATATCATTTTGTATACAACTTAATTTTCAACACAACTTTACTTTTCAAAAAAAAATTCTATGCAACTTTTGTTCTAAAATATCGAGATTAATGGAAGCTCTATAGAAAAAACCTACGCATAATCACTAACTAAGATCTTTTTTTATGATCATCTTTAAAAATAAAAGACATCATTTGACTTAGTTTCCTTTTCTGTATTCATTGGTGCATTTTCAGTTCCGTTTCCAGTTTCCAAAGGCTGAAACTTTAAGGTTTTCTGCAAAGTTTATACTAAGTCACGTATTTGTGGAGTTTTTAGGGTTTATCAATGTTTCCGATTGTAAAATACACCAACGTTTGAAGAACTATTTTCTCTCGTAAATGAGGGATAACTGAATAGATTTTTATGAAAAATAGACAAGCTATCCAGAAACAAATCATACACATCCAAATAATTATTTTACATACTACCTATTTAAGACATCAATTCAGTTATTTCGATATACACTCTCACAACTTACGGTTCGGTCTCGGTCGTAATATATGTGCTTCCCAACTCGGGTCGTTTGCGGTCGGTGGCGTCAAAGTAGAGCACTGTCGAAATACGCACCACGGTCCACCAGTGTGTTGATAGTTCACTTCATTGCAACCCGGCGTTGACATGCAGCTACTTTTGCAATCGTCCACTGACTGAATCGATTGTGTTTTTCCCAAGTATGTGCAACTTGCATCCTGAGTATTACCGTTCTGAATGAGTAATTGCCAATTAGCGACTAGAAAAAACACATTATACTGTGAAGAGAATAGAAAAGCATCTAGTTAGTGTCAGAGGTATGACTGACACCACTGATCAGCCGGACCGACCTCCTAGAGTATTTTCTACCGATCCATACGCGCAAATTTTTAACTGCGGGCTCCGTGCCAATTTTTTCCAAATGTTTACATATTGTTTGTAATTAAGTGACGGTAAAAAAGCTTCCTTTCTCATACGAAACATGTTTTATTTATATCGAAGACTACTTACGAGTACCGAGCTGAATATTAATTAGTTCAGTGTTTTAGTTTTATATATGATTTATTTCTCTCTCCTTCCTTATCTATATTATAAATCTCACAAATGCGAGGGATAACAAAGTTTTGCAAGACACATGAAGCAGCTTAAATGTACTAACAACTAATAAACTACATCTCATATCAAACAAAAATAACTATGGAATGGAGAAAGGCAAGACAGAATGTATGGTATATGAATTTTACTGTCACTCATTGCATATAGTACCAAGCCTGATCTCATTTCCAGTCTACTTCCTAACTTATAGCTTATTGATTAACAGTGCACTCATCTTTTGGACTTCACTTCTATGATGAAAGAGAAGAGACCATTAAGTAAACTAGCCAACAAATATTTTCTCTTCATGATGTCCTTTTTGTTTGTTTTCTGACAAAACCATCGGATTGGTATTCTTTTCATTGAGCAACAGAATGACCCTATCATCTGAGCTGATTTCTGAAGAGTCTCAACGCTAGAACTTTTCTGTATATTATGATGTCAAAATTGTAGGTTTTTTTATTCCTTTTCTCAGCTAGTACTAACGAGGGAACCGTCCCAACTGTTCAATCGCTTTTCAGTTCGGGTCCCTTGCATAAAGTAGACCCCAGTGAGGTATGAAAAACCCCAAAAGGATAAGGGCCGCTAGGCCTTCTGTTCCGAGTTATAGGCAATATACTGAGATTTTAGCCTATGACAGGGTATGTAGAAATAACTCGAATGGCGGTATTGCGACCTGAGATTGTGCCCACAGTGAGATCTATATGCGACTAGAATACCCTGAAAATTTCAGCTAAAAAGAACGTTTTTTTCTCGAGATATTAAAGTCTAAAAAACAAAAAATTCTAGTATCTTTTGTGTGATATAGATGATTTTTTGAGACTTTAATATCTCGAGAAAAAAACGTTCTTTTTAGCTGAAATTTTCAGGGTATTCTAGTCGCATATAGATCTCACTGTGGGCACAATCTCAGGTCGCAATACCGCCATTCGAGTTATTTCTACATACCCTGTCATAGGCTAAAATCTCAGTATATTGCCTATAACTCGGAACAGAAGGCCTAGCGGCCCTTATCCTTTTGGGGTTTTTCATACCTCACTGGGGTCTACTTTATGCAAGGGACCCGAACTGAAAAGCGATTAGACAGTTGGGACGGTTCCCTCGTAAGTTCCACAACTGATAAAAGATATTTGTTGAGACACAAGATCCTTCAGAAACATGTATGCTTAAGATATCAATTCAGTTCTTTCGATATACACTCTCACAACTTACGGTTCTTGCGCAATATGTGTGCTTCCCAAGCCTGATTGTTCGTGGTGGTTAATATCAAAGCAGAGCACTGTCTTAATACGCACCATCCATCACCAGTATGGTGATAGTTCACTTCATTGCAACCGGGCGTTGACATGCAATTGTTTTTGCAGTCGTCCAATGAATTGGCCAATGGTGATGGCAAGACTCTGCAACTAGGATCCTCAGAATAACCGTTCTGAATGAGCAATTGCCAATGATCGACTAGAAAAAACACATCATAGTGTAATGAAAATAGAAAAGCACTTAGTTAGAGTAGTATAGTACTCTCATAAGTTTTGACTCTTAATTGAAATGGAAAGTTTGACAACAACTGACTATTTTTTCTTTCTTTCTGGGTGAAGATTCTGGATCGCTAAAATAGGCTGCAAATATGCGTATAGGGAAAGAGATAAAAAAATGGGGAGAGTAGAGCAGAAGTAGGGGGAAGAATGCTAGAGAAAACAGAAGGAAAGAGAATGGAGATTGAAGAACACGACAAGGAATAGACAATAGGAGATAGGCAGAGGATGAAGGGAGAAGAATGGAGCAGAAGGAGATAAAAAACCGAAGGAGATAGAGAAAGAAGGTCGTGAACAAAGATAGAGAGAGTGGAGAGGAATGAAGAGGAAAAAATAGCTCAACCGTTGAAAAGAAATGATCATGATTTACTATATGTAACAATGCGGCAAGTAAGGATGATGACATATCCATTTTTGTACGAGCTCATTAAAATTAGAAATCTCGGTGGAAAGATTACAGCTCGTATGTTAATGTTTACGTAGTGCTGACGTTCATGTGGTATCGGTTCATCAATAGCTATTCGATGATACTAAGAGCAGTCTGGAAAACATTATAGGAGGTTCAAGTTACTAAAGAATTTCCTCCAATTAAAAAGTTACCATTGGCTTGTAGCATTTCTATATATAAGCTAAAACAATTAGTAATACGAAAATCTAATATTCTATTTAAATCTCTCCGTTAAGAAGTAGAACTGTCGCACCAACGATAATAAAAGAATACCGTTGCAGTCTAACAATCGACTGATACAAATCAAAATGATGGTATAATAATGTGCCAACATAATTTTTAAAAAGAAAAGTATCTAATTCTTTTTAATTTTAGTCTTCATACGTTTTTTAATTTTTTGAGACCTCTCTTAGTCTATTAAGTGAAACCTATGGGCAGACATATTAACAGTTACTGGAATTACTCATTCGCTTCCATATGAGAAATGGGAAATCCGCTATATGAGTGGAAGAATCATACCTGTTGGTTGACCATAGCTCACTAAATCACGAGCTTCCTTGATTTCATCTTGATCTTCGTTTGAGTTTTTCATAGCCTTTCGTAAATACAGATCCATCAGTAGACGTTTGAATTTGTCCCCATCGTGAAGTCGACGCGATGCCTGAAAGTAAGAGGAGGCTCTTGCATTCGACGACTGCACGGCAACAATCGTAACCAGAAGAACAATCCACAAAGCCAAGTTAGACGACTGCATGTAACTGCTGTTGAGTGATGATAAGATTGTATGTGTTCACTAACTGAAAATGATCTCCTTTTATAGTATCTCTGTGGTGTATTGTGCATTCAACCAGAACGCGGCGTTGTTTTAAGCGAACAAAGAAGGATTCTTTCGTTCTCTCTTTTCTTTCTCACTGCAAACATCGATTTTCTCTGTAGCTAACCAACCAAATCCTCCTCATTTCTAAAATCAATCAACCAGAACACGCTACTCACAAAAAATGTTAAGACTAAGTATAGCTCATTAAATTTAACGTTTAGAGTAAAGTGCAATAGTTATGATGTAAAAACAAATGTTCTTCTTAGCCTAAACGGCATATCGTATCTACCGGATGACGGAAGATCCATGCTTTGAACTCCGTCAATCAACCATCTTTTCTCTCACTGATGTCATCGTAAAAACAGCATAAAAAGTATGTTTAATGGTAGAAAAAACACTGGCTTATCCTTTCCAAATGCTTGTCTACAAAGTTCATTCAAATAAGCTGAATAAAGTGTAACAAAGACCACTGCTTTAACAATGATTCAATTTTTCTTCTATATTCGTTCAGAAAGTTGTATCTTATATATGTAAGACTGAAAATTAATACCGTTTGAACGACAAAATCAAGAATAATATCGTTGGACGATACTAAACCAATTTCTCTGTTATCTTGCTTTTCGAAATTACTCAAAAAATGTTTTTTGCTTCATTTTCGCCAATGGATCAATGGCCAAAGTATACTGCTGAATGAACAAAGTGGATTTCGTCCAGGACGTAACAGGGCAGTTAGGTTCGTAGCAAATGTGGATCATATTGGGCAAAGCCTTTCGAAACATACAGCTGCTAGTGATCTATTTGTAGAGTTTCGTACAGTATTCAATCAGTTATGGTTTAACAGACTATGGCTCAAGTTAACTAAATTAAGTTGTCCTAGTAAATTAATTTCCTGATTGCGGCATTATCTTTGCAATCGAAAAGCATTCATCAACATTAAATCTAGCTAAAGGATTCTCACAAGGTAATGTAATCGAGTTTATTTTGTTCATGGTTTATCATTATGATCTCATCGAATCGTTGGTAATATTTCAATGGAAACATCTATTTGCGCCAGATTCTTCGTTGACTCCATCGAACATGCTCAAAGATATTACTAAACAGATCATGCAGATTCTTAATTGATTGATTGATTATTCAAAATGCTGGAAGCAACCAATTAACTTCAGTAAAACTTATTGAATATTATTCAACAGATAAGTTGCACTAATGTTACCAGAAGTTGTTTGTCAGGGATACTATATCGATCATGTTAAAAGTTTTGAATATTTGGGCACTATTCTCGATGAGAAATTTTCATTCAATCTGCATATCGATTATATCAAATCGAAAATCAACTCGAATCTGACGATTTTCAAATGTTTATCGTCAACTAGACTAACTTGTAAAAAAGTAAACGACAGAATGTTCAGTGCGTACATACGTCCCTATTACCACCAGTCAATAGCCGAACTAACTGCATTTCATTGGAATAAACTGATCAACACAATCATGAGAACAAATCCTAGTGTTATTCAAGATTATTTACAACATAAAATGGTACTCATATACATTAATGAATATATAAATAATCTAACTTTAGCCAAAGCAAGGAAAACTATCTTCGAAAGAAGTAGACATAGCAAATACATTTGGGATCTAATAGCGGAAGACTGAATTTCTCTTCTCGATTTTACCTTATCATATCCCTGTTGACCACTCACGACACATCAACAGGTGCTTTTCGTGATGTTATCTTCGCAGTACCTCAGTTTCATTCAA